ACTTTTTTTTTTTTTTAAATGTAAAGGTAATAAAAAATGGTACCTTTTACGATCATGTGGTAATTCATATGCGACAGAATTATGTCATAAACGTACGTCTATGAAGCCGGGGTAGTTAAAATATCCATCTAAAATTAATCAAACTTAATTTCATTAAATTTTTTTTACTTAGATTTTAAAAAGTAAGTTATGATCCAGTATTAAAACTGTGAAAGCTGTTGGAAAAGACATTTCAGTGTTTCTGGTAACATCCTCACAAAAACCAGAGATTATTTAAACTGCACTGAAACTGTACTTTTTTCATTTTCACTTTGTAGATGTGTGTTATGTGATTGTATTTTATAAATTTATGTTGAACTTATGAAGGATTGGATCAGGACATCGCAAGTTGATACTTTTTGTTTGGTACCAACTCTTACTGCAGCAGAAACCATTTGAAAGTGGTGTTTTAATCAAACTAGAGCGAGCCTTTACTTCAGTAAGAAATGCCGTCACACCAGATGTCATTCCCTGACCACAGACCATATCTTTATCTGTCCTTTCTCTAAATTTTCCTTCCCTATTTAAGTCTCATTTTGAGCCTCAACCTTCTCACATCCTGTCATGTTTTCCTTCTTATACTCTCCTCTTTCTTCTTTTCCACCAGCCTTTTTTTCTTGATATAAAAGAACACTAATGAGGCCAAATCTGCTTCCGTCTCCTCCCAGTGTTCCTATTATCTTTACGCCTACTGTTACTTAGCTCCTCATTTGATTTCTTTTCTTCTTCACCCCTCCACTTCCTTCATTACTTCCCACTGTCCTGAATCTCCGAATGAAAGGAAATCCTTGCTGTAGCTGCATCCTGAGCCCCGGGCCAGCTTCAAACCTCACTTTGTCGTCCTCATGTCCCTCCTTTCGTTCTCCCATCTGTCCAGATTTGACAATCCGAGCAGGGTTTGAGACATCCCGTTATTTACAGCATGAATCACTGGCCTTTCTCTCCACAATGTCACCCAGAGTTACTCGCATCTGTCTCTTTCTTTCAGCCTCCTTTCCGTCATCTTTCTCCTGTTTGTTTCTTTTATTGGAACACATTTGCATGCGCCTTTTCAATGCATTAATGTTTCACAATGCCGCCACTGCCGCTGTGAGCGCGGGGTGTTCAGAGAGTGTTTGCCTCATCGCTCAAATAATTGAGTTTGAAAATAGGTTGAGTCCTAATTAAAGGAAGTGTGTTAGTTTTTCATATCATCGTAAAAACCTGTTCAGCTGCACACCGTAAACATCCTCCACCCCACACTGGTTCTGCCCTATTAGCAGTTTCATTCCCATTATCTTTCATTTTCCACGTCGTCATTAAGAAAGCCGTCAGTCAGCAGTGTAATCAGTACCGAAAGAGACGCGGTTGCCTTTTATTTCTCTGGGTATTAGGGCTGTAGGATAATATCGATATCGCGATATATATCGATATTTTCTTTCCTAGAAAAAAAATCGATATTCATCAGCAAGTATCGTAACATCCAACTGTCATCTTGCTCACTCACTGCTTGCTTCACTGGGAGAGTGATTAGTGTCGAGGTTAAAAAGGTATCAAACTATTCAGAGCAGGGTGCTTGGTGCACTTTATTTACTTTACAAATGCATGTAAGCTACAGTTTGTACTGTTTCAATTAAAAGAAACATGTTTTCTCACTACGTCTTTGATTCTTTTTGTCCAGCTGTCGACTTTAAGTCTGTGTCCATGTCCAACCAGAGCCAGGTTGGTGCTTTTAATCAGTTTTCTGTTAAATTAATTCAATCCAACTCTATAACAGTCACCAAAATCACTCTGTCCCTCTAAAATCTTTCAGAAAATCGCAAAAGTGTATTGTATTGAATTGTATCGTTTGATGAATATCGCAATATATATCGTATCGTGGACAGAATATCATGTATCGTATCGTAAGATTACTGTATCACTACAGCCCTACTGGGTATGCTGAAATACTTTGATTCAGTCTTCTGTTTTGACTCGGTTTCTTTGATTTTTAATGTCAGATTGTTATAAAAGTCTACACTTGAAAAAAAATCTGACATTTTAAAGTCTACCTACTGTTATATAAAAGAGGAATAAAACTGTCTAGCGCACTTTAAAGGGCCTTTTTAATCCATCTCCAAAAAGATTTCGCCTACGTCTAAAGCAGACAGGACTGCAAAACCGCTTCAAGTAATGGATAAGATGGGAATTATTAAACTATAATTCAAATGCTGTAGGAAGCTGCCAATCACCAACCATTGTCTAGCGGGTTTTAAAACCTTCTCATTCTTTCGTTATATAAAAAATGAAAAATCATCTGCGTCTATCTACTGAGGTCTTAAAAAAAATCTAATTTGTTTATACTCATGCTTGGTCATTAAAGCTGATTCTGATTACATTTTAATCTTCCACTAAAAGTAAATCAAGGACTGCTTCTTGGAAGAAACATTGCTTCAGTTTTGATTAATTTTAAACGCTGCAGGTATGTCAAGCTCGATGTCGAAATTAAAAACTTGAGGGTGAGCTTTTAGTTATTGAAGAATATCTGCAATTGAGGTTTCCCCTTAAATATGTAAATAAGGCTTTCTTTGAAATCAGGCAAAGGTTTAGACTTTAAATGAATGAGAAATCAAATGTCAAACATCTGAGGAATTCACTCTGTTTACTTTTTAAAAACCCCAACGATTAAAATAATTTTATTTTCATGAAAATTTAACAAGATAAGTCCAGGAATCTGATTAGCAAGACAACATGCATAAAGAAAACATTAATAAAAGCTTAGCTTTACCAAATTTCTTCTGATCTACTCCCATAGTTCAAGCTGGGTTTCAGGCATCTCTTCTTCTATTGAAGTGACACTGCAGCAGCAAAACATTCTGGGATTTGAACTGGCAGGCCAGCTATTCTAAACTCAAACTCTGTAGGCCTGAAATTGACATCTGTGAAAGAAAACGTGGTAAAAATGGAACCTTTTTATTACAAACATTTAATGTCCTACAAATGTGCTGGATTGTATCGATATTCAAATATACTGAGTAGCTTTAGCAGGTAAAAATATTATATAATCGTCATATAAATGATTATAGTTGGTGACGAACAGAGGTGCAAACTGCAGGGAATGCGAAAATGACACAATTTGTAAAACTGAAAGCAAAATTATTTATATTATCATAAAAATCTGATTATCTGCATTTAAATCTAAAATATTTGCAATCAAGTCCAACACAAATAAAGACATCCAGTGAATGAGGGCTGCCAAAATGAAATAACCATTTGCATTTTTGTTAAATATTTTAATAATGTAAGTCCGTGTCGTCTTCATGCCCACTTTCCTATCTGTCATCATGATGCTCCCAATACACTTTGACCTCTAGCATCTTGACCCCGGTCTCCTGTGAAAAGGTGACGCACAATGGCTGCCATGTGATGTTCTTCCCTGACCTGTCCGCGCAGGTGGTAAAACAACGGAAACGGTTCGACCGAGTGAAACCGTAAGCTGAATATAAACGTTGGACTTATATTCATCAAAGATGAGGATCTTCCACCGTGGGAATGGTTTCCTCTTTCACACTCCGATGGAGGTTGAGGAATTTATACGGAAAATGGGACAACAAACTGATGGGAAACCACACTAACACGCTAAATGGCGTTAGCGAGGTTTGATAATAATTAACATTACATTTGATCGGTGTTTCTGGATAATGTACGTCTCGACTAAGTTTCCCCATCACAGCTGTGGGGTGTAATTTCTTAATAGCATGGTCGGGATTGATAGTTTAAAATTGTGGTGCGAGTTGACTAAGTGGACGTTTTCTCTGCTCCTGTTGTTTTTCTAGGATCAGTAGCATGACCAAGTCGCAGAATAGAGGGGAAGTGGAGTTGGAGATCTCCACTGGTGGAGAATCTCAAGAAAGGTTTTCTATATTTGTAAATGTTTAGAGTTCTCAAGGTGTAAAATGCAAATTCCTACAGCCTAGACAAAAAATCTAAGAACTGATATACATTAAGCGAACGAGTACGGAGTACATCATTCATGTGATCTCTTGGAATGTAAGAGGTCTTAGAAAATTGATGAAACTCAAGAAAGTAATGAATAGACTTAAACAATACCAGCCAAAAGTGGTTTTTATTCAAGAAACACATCTACTTACAAACGAAATTACAAGACTAAGAAAAAGATGGCCAGGTCAAGTATTTTCAAGCTCATTTTCTCCACATGCTGGGGGAGTGGCTATTTTGATTCATAAATCTTTGCCTATCTGTATAAAAAAATTATTACTGATCCTGTTGGGAGATTCATAATAATCCATACCTCACTGATGAACCAAAACTTTATTTTGGTTAACCTGTGTAGTCCTAATATAGACGACCCTGAATTTTACAATAATTTGTTTCTTTCCATCACAGCTGCAAATGCCCAACTTTCTGAAATATATTGAGGAAAATATTGATTATTTCAGCCTTAATAAATCTGAGACTACAGCATCTATTAGATGGGAAGCCTTCAAGGCTTTTATACNAAAAAAAAAAGAAATCATAAAATTATGAAAAAAAAAAAAAAAAAAAAAAAAAAAAAAAAAGAAGAAGAAGAAGAAGAAACCATCAACAGAAAATTTGCAAATGTTGTAATTTATTCCATTCTGGAATAAACAGCAGTAAGTACCTGCCATTGCAATTCATCGTTTTTTGTTGCACCAGGCTGCCTGTCAAGCCAAAAGATTGGTGCTTCATTTCTGTTTTTTGAATGTCACTTTGTAAAAAGTTACTATGTTATAATCTACCAAATAAGTCTAAGTGGGTCAAAAGCAAAAGGAAACCTCTACTGACCCACAAATACAACCTGTAAGTAAGGTGCACTTTACCTAATGGTGTTATTTCATTAGTCATTAACACACTGATTCGCTGGATCCATAGAGACATCCATCTTAGCTTCATATTTTCAAATAAACCTGAAGCCTGTCCACTGTAGCGACACAGGCCTTTTCTCACTTCTGTCCACTTCAGGCACACTCCTGGTCAGCTGGCTGAAAGAGAAGTACTACCATTTCCTGTGCTTGCTTACAACCACGCACCAAATTCAGGTAATGAAAAAACTAAACCAGACTTTGTGCAGAACCTAAATAAGTCCATTTCATATAATTTTTAGAATATTACTATTTACTATTTTGAAGCTCCAAATAATACAGCTGATTGCAGAGCGGCTGCTAAAACAGAGCAGTCTGAACACAGACCGACGATAGCCCCAACAATGACCTATAAAGGAGTTGTGGTTGTTTAACTGTTTAATGCCTTTTGATTATTTAGGTTCTTAAAACATGGTCATCAAATCAGTTTCAAGCGACTTCTCCCAATATGTTCATAATTGCTTTGTGAGGTTGTGAGCTTACCGTTTTCATTTGTGAAGGGCCTTGAGACAACTTTTGTTGTGAATTGGCGGTACATAAACTGAACTGAACTGAATCTCCGAGGTAGAATATTTTACATGTAACCTGCTATTCAGAAATACTGTCAGCACCGAAGTCGGGCCACAGATAAAAAAAAAACCCTGGTAATAAAAGAAAGTCTGTACTTACTCGTACACTTTCAGCTTGTAGCACTGGCCGTTCAGAAACAAATACTCCCAATCTGTCCCGTAGTCTATTTCCAGCTTCTTCTGAAGATCACTGTGAGAACAAAATCACAAAGTTTACTTCCCTTTACTTACGATTCCACTACAAATTTATATTTTTAAACACATTTAAGCAGGGCTTAAAACCCAATTTGTGAAATACTTCCAGTGGCAAAGATGCACAGCACAACAAAGAATGTTTAAAGGTTGCTTTAAAAACTGTTGGGTGCCTTTGAATTGTGCTGGCAGAGAGGCTTTATTTCTCCTTCCTGTTTTAGTAACTGATTTCTCGCATAGTGTTTGATGAGGTAGCCCCTTAAAGTCCCATTTCTATGCGTTGTCTTCTATTATTTGAGCCGCTGAGGACTGCTCTTCTTCACTAATGACATGTAAGGCAAGTGAGCCGTATCTCTAACGGTGCAAGAGCCCTCATTTAAATATTCATACCGCGTACATGTGAACGGGGTTAACAAATGTCTGAGGAAGGTGATTCTGGATAAGGTAAGGTAGTGTTGGGGGATGAATCGGGGTCAAAGAAGCAATGGAGGTTGCGTAACCCTATGTGCATGTGATACGCAGTAAGGGCACAGGTCATGCACTGAATCATTTTATGAGTAAATTTCCCTTCACAGCAAGAGAGAGAGAAAGGGAGAGAGAAAGAGGGAGAGACGGAGCGAGTACTTTGAATTCACAGTCACGGTGGAAAGAGAACACCTGCAATTAGTTTGAAGGTTTAATGTGATGGGACATTGTAGAAATAATATGGGGTTTACCAGGGAGCATACGCGAATCTAACCATCTTTATTTATGAACAAAGACGAACCAGAAAAGGAAAAACCAAGTACGCCATTGCTGCTTGAACGAGACTTGAAAACTAAAAGCTAAATTAGCCAGGTGCTGGTAAGTGACCGACTGATCGCACAGCTCAGACGTAGGCAGGATGCTATCTGAAGCGCAAAGCTGTGCGCCAACACCATGTCAAGATGGGAAGACTTCAGCAATGACTTGGAGAAGCAACCAAGTGTCTCAAAGTTTCTGCACGGCGATGTTAAGAGATTAATATCACGTTATTGCTAAACTGGGTCTGGGTGGAGTGTGCTTAGCAATTCTTTACTTTATTATGTATAACAGAATGGAATCTGTTGGGTGTTTTTGTATATTGATATACAAAAAACTGACTTTTGTATTTGATATTTGTTATTTTAACACCAGTGCTATTACAATTAATATACAGTACATGGACATAGCAGATAGTGGTCTGAACAAGAGAGACTAGAGCAAAATAGACCAACAATATGAATCAGGTTATTATTTCCTCTTTTGCCTCATACAGGCCTTTGTTTATTGTGGAAACATCTTGACCTTTTGGTAATTGCCATCACTGTACTTGGCACTCTCTTCTTTAATGGTAATGAACCGTTTGCAAGCCCAAAGGGCCTCGGAAATTACTTAACCAGCCATTGCTTTGTGGAAACATCTCGCAGTGGGAATGTAACAGGGATAAACCTCCGAATGTCTGCATGTTTTATGTTCCTTTGGACGGGAACAAGGCTTTGCTGCCTTTCTGTTGCATGACTGTGCATGCAGTTGTAAAAAAAAAAACAACCAAAAAAAACATGGGAAATTATCTCTTTACCATTCTTCTACAAGAGAAGACAAATCATCAACTGAAATAAAAATGAGGGTTTTGAAAATAATCAGTTCGATGCATCTGCTGTCAAAATTTGAAAGGTGATTTTAAGACTGCTGCTGCTGCAAAAAATAAAAAATAAAAATCTACCTGGAACTTTTTCCAAAGTTGTGAACACAACATAGTGACTGCATAGCATGGATTTAAAAAGTCCACACCAACCGTTCACACTGCTTGTTGTGGTGGAAAGAAAATGAAACCAGTATAAATAACTCAAAGCGAACGGGAAATAACTTCCAGACTTTTTCCACCTGCGATTCTGAGTAGTTCTATTAATCGCAAGTCGGTGTCGACCAAGAACCTTCATGTGTCTGCTAGAAAGCTGAAGATGGAGGGGGATTTTGTCGTTTGACACGACAGCAATTTAAAGCATCGATCAAACTTTGCAAAAGAATGACTTCAGGACAGGAAAATCAAAGTTTTACAAAGGCCTAGGGAGAGTTAAGAACTTAATCTGGCAGCAAATGTGAAGGGTCACTTGAAGAAGGCTCTTGACAAGAGACGTCCTCAAAATGTAGCACATTTGGTAAACGTTCTGCGAAGTAAAGTGGGCAAAAACTGGCAAGTCAAGATGTGGCATGCTAATCGAATTTGACTGGAAGCTTAAACTGAATCAAAAGGTGCTTCAACAAACACTTATGGAAGCTGTTTATTGCAGCATTTTCATTGTCTTCTCCCTTTAAGATGTGTTTTTTGGGAAAAGTATAAAGTATGCAGGTCAAATTAAAGGTGAAAAAGATAATCACGGTTTCAGTTCTTGCATAAAAGCCTCATATTTAACCAGGCTTTGTGACACTTTTTTAGTTCCTCCGGGTGATACTAGAACTGGAGATGAAATGTTTTCTGCTTGAAAAAGAAAACTTAAAACTAAACAAAAATACAGAGTTTTCAATGCTAATTTGAGCCATAATCATCCTTAAATGTGCCACTAAGAATCCGTGATAGCTGAAACAGGGGCTGCCGAAAATAAGTCGAGAAAAGGCCTGCCCCGCAGAGCACAGTAGGCAACAAATAGAGTTTGTTTTTCTTCATTAAAATTAGCCTTAGGTATCACACAGTACAAATTCATTACTGTGCAGCTTTTCCACACTCCTATAGAACAAAAGGATGGAGTCTATTTTAAGTCCTGGGTGGATGTCTTTCCAATTTGCTTACAGTAGCTAAGTGAGAAGTAAATGCATCATCCACGCAAAGTGCAAAGTGTTCAATATTCAGCCGTAACTATGTGACAACAGAAGCTAGCCTCCCCCTCTAATTCTTTATTTTCCCTTACCTTATTTCCATGTTGACTGTCTCGTAGGCTTCCTCCACCTTCTTCAAGTCGGTAGCCTCCCACTCCGCAGCTAGACAAAACAAAAGGTCAGACAAATTAACAATGCGGCGTTGTTGCGACTGGGCGCCTCGCGTGTTGCCAAACAGCGCTCTCCAAATATAGGGCGGTATTTTTAACGACTGCGAGAGGCTGCGCATAAACACGGGCGTGCTATTTTCAGGTGCGTTAAGTGCAGAACGGTGAGCTTATTAGCCTCTTCACACTGAAAAGTGTGCTGAGACTGCGAGAGAGGAGAAAGACGAAGTCGGAGGGAGAGCTGCAGCAATTACTGCGTGTTTGTCACTTTTATCTCCATCACTCTCATATGCACATTATCTTGTTTTCATTTAAAATATGCTTATCTTAGGCAAGGAAAACACTGTGAGGGGCCTCAGTGGGATTCAGTAGCTTATCCAAGGACACGAGTGGGGACGGTGAGAATAGAAACATACAAATAAAATACAAATGCAACCACTTAAGAGGAATCTGTAATCTTCATAAAATTACTTTATTTAATCTCAAGATTGTTTTAAAAATCTTTTTGTATGGAGACATTAGTATTCATATCTGTGAAGTCAACACATCTCTTTCAAAACCTGTTTTGCCTGGACAAAATCCAGTCAGAAGAAAGACACGCTGAGGACACGTTATCATCAACGCATGTAACTAAGAAATCAATGAGATGTAGCCATTAATTTTGGATTACTTGATTAGAGACATGTGACGACCTCCTGTCTGACATGGGAGTGTAAACATAAAGTGACATTTCATGGGAAACACAAGAAAACATGCTTGTAAAGTAAGGTTGTGTTCACCTTGCTAAGTCAGGATATAACAAATTGGCTTGAACATGCTGATAACTACAGTCAAAACAACAACAGGACAAACAACTGGAGGAAAACTCAAGCTTATAACAGACACGGATGGCAAGGTCTCCAAAGCTCAGTCTTATGGTGTGTTCACACCAAATTTGCTTTGCGCGTCTGGCCTACATTCAAAGTCTATGTGGAGGCCCGTCGAGGGCCCGTCGTGGTGCATTTCGAGCGTCTAGCACGGCGCAATTTGAAGAGTTTGACGCATCAAAAGTGTAGATTGCAGCGCAGATTCCGGCAATTAAGCCAGCAACGGGAAAAACAACGTCTAGAGCAATTCTGACGAGTCTGATGGGCCCTCGGCACGCCTCCACATAGACTCTGAATGGAAACCAGGCGCTCAAATCACATTCGGTGCAAATGCACCTTCAAGCGTCTGCATTCAAAGTGCACACGCATCGAACTTGAAGAAAAGTCAGACGCGTTTTTGAAGCGCGTAACGCATTTGGTGTGAATTCGCCATAAGAGAACTTGCAGGAACCGAGTCAGAACTTGGGTTCACCAAGTCCTCAGTACAACCATGAGATTCAGGCTTTGTGCCAACTGACTGTGTGAGACACCAGAAAAACACTTCATCTCCTACCAGCTGCTCAGCTCTACTGGGAATTTGACTGAAATTGAGCGCTTTGATCACGTGATTCAAAGACAGGTCTATTCAGTGACAAGCATTTCAGTTAGGCATGGTGTGAATATTGCACTTGCTGTTATGAATTCTTGTATTACCAAGATTTTCTCTTTAAAATAAAATGAAAATTGAGTGGCCTCTGCCAGAAAACGGAAAATATCAGTAGGTCTTTCAGGAGGATAATGTCCCCAAACATATGGCCAAATCAACACAGTAATGGCTTAGCAAACAGTAAAGCAACCATTCGCCATGGGGTTCGCAGTCCTCGGATAAATCCTGTCAAAATCCTGTGAAGAAAACTGAAACGAAGATGAAATTAGTCTAGGATTTTTGAAAATCTGGAGAGATTTAACCAAGAAGAAATATTTCCAGGTCCATCTGGCTTTGAGCTGATGTAAAATTATAGGAGATTGTACATCATGTCTTAAATATTGGAAAGTAAATGCGGCTTGGGCAGCTTAAATGCCAAGGAGCAATGTCACCTGACACGCTATTGGCTGGCATTTGGAGAGAAGCCAATCCAGGAGTGTAAAATTATTTTCCATGCCACTAATTGGCTTTACCACCAAGAGTGGAAACAGAAGACTGTGGCAGGTTCTGTGATGGCGCAAAAATGGTTTCCATTGTGCGTTTAAATGCACAGGAAAGTATATATGGTGGCTAAACTATTAAATTTGGTAGAAACAAGCATTTTTTAGAAGGGATCTCAAATAGATGTAGCTTTCAGCTAATCGCAGATGGTTGTTGTTTGGGGTCCATCGTATCTTGTTGCAATACAAGATGAATTTATCTCAAGGGCTTATACACATCTTTAATATCAGAGCTGTAAGCATAATTAAATCCTGCTATAGTTTTCTTACCTCATAGTCAGAGTTGGATTGGATTAATTAACAAAAGTCAGTCGTTTATTTCCCTCCAATTCGTTCTATAAGCATATTGTGACTTGGTGTGCAGGAACACCAGCACAGCAACATTTCTAGTATAATTAAATAGACAATGTTTCAGTCCCTGCTGAATTCCAGTCTTTTTTTTTTTTTAAATTGCTCACTAAATCCACAAATGTACACATTGGCTGACAGCCTCTGCAAAAACAATGTGAACAACCTGTCAAAGCAAATGATACCTGAAGAGGTAAACAATCTGAAATAATGGAATATACATTAACCTGCTAAGATAGGAAGCGATGAGACAATGCGACCAGGTGACAGCCCTATAACTCATGATGCGAACATAATTGCACTTCTTTTTCATTAAAAGTGGGATCCGATTACCCGACAGTGAAAGCATGCACACAACACTTGTGCCTGAACCATGCCAGCCCTTAAATGCGAACAAAAAAGGCCTGAAAGGCAAAGAAAGAAGGTGGCTGAAAATAGAAGTGAGGACAGGCTTAAAAGACTCCAATTTAACCGCCTGGTGCTGTTGGACATGTGGATTTAGTGGGGCTTCTGAAAGCGGACAGGTTCGCTGCTGACGTCGGAGGAACTCTCACCGGGGCCTGGTGCTGTGGCAACGGAGAAGGATCTGCGCGTAGCAAAGAAACCAAGTGGGAAGCTGTGACAGCACTGGCCTGAATACCAATTAGCATGTTCCTTCTATTGTACGAATCCCCAAAATACTACTACTTTTTTTTTTTTTTTTTTTTTTTCAAAACCCGATACAGATGTGACGTGCTTCAAGATCATAGACGATTTTAAAGCACCAAAAGGGGACAGGATATTCTTCTTAGTCACCTTTAAACCACTTAAAATCACCACTTACGTTCCCCTTCAGCGCCGCTCTCGATTTTGTTTTACTCACACAGCTACCGCCAAGCTCAGCACCGACAAAAGGAGGCACAAAATCCCATGTGGGTGACATTTGAACTGCTGCTGCAGCCATTTTCTCTCGAAGCCTACGTTTATTCAAGCAACGGCTTAACACTATCAGACAAGGACAACAACGTTATAAAAAAACAGGTATGATGTGATATTAAAGCCCACTTTATCTGAAGTCACATGCATTATTAACACTGATGAGAAGGTTTTATCGACTCTATTCATGTGGAGAATTCAGGACAAAGGTTTTCACAGTGAAACTAAGCTGACCGGTGGATATTTTTCTCTCCTATACAGCACTTCACCAGAAGCTATCAGGAGAGCTGTTAAATCACAGAAGCTGTGTACAAAAATAGAAGAGGATGAACACGCTGTGTAGTATACACCGTTTCCTCTCCCCCCAACCCCCTCCGAGTATCTCTTGTGTATACATACCTTGAGCCAGAGACCGAAGATACTGTGTTTACATGCGAGTGGATCGATAGGCTAGGCGATTCCTCGGCAGCTCTAAGAAAAGAAGCCTGAGAGAGCCGGTGATACGCGCCGCCACGGCCGTGCTCGATACAGCACGGCCGACGCAGCGAGGCCACCCTTGCATTCCCCGTGCTTCACGCGCAGCAACACACACCTAGAGAAGGACGCCGACCGGCGGGCGCATGTAGGAGGGTGGTTTGTTGTCTGTTATTTAAAAGTCTGCTCTTTAAAATAATGGCAGACTACTAAAAGCTTCCACGTCTGTTTCCAGTCCACTTTTAAACACTTGCACTCTGCGCTATGTTGCAACACCCATTTTCTCTTTTGACTCCGACGTTCTCCTTGGATTCAGTATTTTCAGCATGAGCTCCAACAGCCTCGCTGGCACCCTCACCTCCCTTTCTCAAGCTTCATTTTCTCAGCATCTCTCTTCAACTCAAGAGCTTGCTCTGACTGCTAAGTGGTGAGGACTAAACTATAGGCAGAAAATTACTATACCCTAATGTAAAAGATGCAACAAAGTGGGAAAAGGTTTTTGTTTTTCTTCTTCACCAAACTAGTTCTATGTGCACAAAGCACAGAGTGCCCTTTAATCAGAAGGTAGAGCCAGACATAAGGATAAAAACAATCAAAATGCCTCGTAGGGATATATGGGAATAAGTGATACTAAGCGAATGAGTACTCCAAAAGTGGTTTTTATTCAAGAAACACATCTACTTGCAAATGAAATTACAAGACTAAGAAAAAGATGGCCAGGTCAAGTATTTTCAAGCTCATTTTCTCCTTAGGGGGGTGGCAATAAATAAATCTTTGCCTATCTGTATAAAAAAAGGTGTTACTGATCCTGTTGGGAGATTCATAATAATCCATACCTCACTGATGAACCAAAACTTTATTTTGGTTAACCTGTACGGTCCTAATATAGACGACCCTGAATTTTACAATAATTTGTTTCTTTCCATTACAGCGTTCCATGGTGATGTTATCTTTGGTGGAGAGACTTTAACTGTACTTTTAGATCCTAATCTTGACCGATCATCAGGATTAGATTTATCCCACTCTAAAAGTAGACGGGTTATACAACATTTTATGTCCGAACTAAATTTAAAAGATATTTGGAGAATTCAGAATCCAACAAAGAAAGAATATTCTTGTCACTCAACTACCTATAATAGCTATAGCCGTATATAGATTATTTCCTAATCTCAAATTCTTTGGTTGCCATAGTTAAAGGTTGTACCTATGAAAGCGTATTAATCTCTGACCACTCACTATGCTTGCTTAAATTTTCACCCCTAATTGCGTTTAGATGTAATCCTATGTGGCGATTAAAACCCCACTGGCTGCAAATGCCCAACTTTCTGAAATATATTGAGGAAAATATTGATGATTATTTCAGCCTTAATAAATCTGAGACTACAGCATCTATTAGATGGGAAGCCTTCAAGGCTTTTATACGAGGTCAAATGGTAAGTTACACAAGAAATAAGACTGATATAAACTTCATGGAGATGGTAAAACTTGAAGAACAAATTAAAGAGACTGAGTTTGAGATAAATTTAAAGGATTCTAAAATTAAAAACTGCTAATATTAAGGGCAAAATATAACAAACTATCTACTAACCAAGCTTCATCAGAGATATTCCAGCTGAAACAATCCCACTACGATCAAGGAGAAAAGGCAGGAAAGCTTCTAGCCTGGCGCATTAAAGCTATGCAGAATGAAGCAATAAATTAAATTAAAATGAAAATACTTCTGATCCTCAAAAAATTAACGATCTCTTTAAAGATTATTACTCAAAATTATATACATAAAGCACACATATCACTTGATTCATTTTTTAACTCTATAAATATCCCCACACTTAGTGAAACAGTTAAATCAGAGCTGGATATCCCGATATCTATAGATGAACTTTCAAATGCAATAGATAAATTAAAATCAGGAAAAACACCAGGTCCGGATGGGATCCCTTTGGACAATTATAAAATATTTAAAAGCAAACTACTACAGCCCCTCTATAATATGCTTGCAGAAAGTTATACCCTTAAAGA